TGAGTTGGAGTCTTACTCTGTTGCCCAGGCTGGAGTGCAGTGGCACGCTCACAGCCAGTGCCTGTAGTTCCAGCTACTTGGAAGGCTGAGGCAGAAGGATCGCCTGAGCCCAGTAGGTTGAGGCTGCGGTGGCTATGAACATGCCACTGCACTCCAGCCTGGGCTACAGAGTGAGACTCCGACTCAAAAAAAAATAAGTACATAAATAAGGGACAATTTGTATTTCTTTTTCTGTGAACTGCTTGTTAATATCCTTTGCTTATCTAATCACTTTATCAGTCTAATTTTAGAATATGTGCTGCTAAAAGAAGTTTTGAAAGCTTTTTTAAAAATGGGGGGATGGAGCAGTCTAACAGTTGAAAAAGTACCCATCAGGTACGTACTTACCACCCAGGAGACAGGCTCAACAGAAGCCTAAACCTCACCACCACACAATACACCTATGTAACAAACTTGCACACATACCCCTTGAATCTAGAATGAAATGTAAAAATAAATAATAGAGCCAGGCTCAGTGGCTCAGCATGTAATCCCGTGCTTTGGGAGGCTGAGGTGAGTGGATTGCCTGGGCCCGCGGGTTCGAGACCCACCTGGGCAACTTGGTGAGACCTCATCTCTACAATAAATCAAAAAATGAGCCAGGCGTGGTAGTAGCGCGTACCTGTAGTTCCAGCTGCTTGGAAGGCTGAGGCGGAAAGATTGCCAGATCCCCGCAGGTCGAGGCTGTGGTGGTCAGGAGCGGCCACTGCACTCCAGTCTGGGCGACAGAGTGAGACTCTGACCCAAAAAATAATAATAATAATAAAATAATAAATACAAATAATAGATTTGTGGGCTTCTCTCCAGACATACTTAATCAGAATAGTCCATATTTGGAGTTAGCAATTTGTATTTCAGACTGAATGAATCTGAAATATGAATAAATATAAAAACTCCCCAGATTTAGAAATCACTGGCCTGTATCATCAAAACAAACTGGTCACTCTAAATGTTTACAGTGACTTAAGCCTATATTGTCTAAAAGTTATGTGAAATGGGCAGAATATGTTGTGTATTACAAATCATAACAATGTGTTAACATTCACCACAGGATGTAATGTAACTTTTGGGTAATGGTGCAGCTTGCGTGTTGTTTCGCAAACTTTTGAACCTTTGAGTTTCCTGGAACTTGAAGCAGAGGCAAGAGCGGAATGTCAACAGCAAAGAATGGTAAGGAAAACAGAAACAGAAATTGAAACATGGCAATGCCAATCAGCAAGGGAATGTGATTAAACCAGAATTAACGGTTCTTTCTGAGTTTTAACACGACTGTTCATTTTAGGAAGCCACAGGGCTTGTGTTACTCACTTGGTTTCAGGTAAAATTTTGAGTTGCACTGAGATTGGAAACTGGCTGTCTGTAAAGGAAATGGTCCTAGATGCTTATAGGCGGATGAGCCAAATAAACCCAACATCACAGGAAGCACGTGGGGCGATTCCCAGGCGGGAGGCGGGG